CGCTTGGCACAAGCTGACTCCAGATGGGCTGCATCGCTCATTCTGCTATCATGAGCGATTATCATGGCGGTCTGCACCAAGTGTGACATGTGAATATTTTAATTTGTCTCCTCAAACTCGCTGGACTGTATAAAGAAGCATTACATTTTTTTTTTTTTAAACCTCACATGAAGATTTTTTTTTTGTATTAACCCCGAGCTTAAACTAACATGTTACAAATGTACAAATCCAACCTTTTCCCCAATTTACAGTCAGCAAAGGTTTTCCAGGGGGCACACTCTTATAACATAACAGATAAAAGGTCAGCTTTAAGTGGGAAAGGGGGATTTTTTTCAGGGCACCCATAAATATTCATTGCGACGGGCCAAGGTTGCCAGAATAATTTATGGAAATGACAGGATATTCACAAGGTAAGTGGAGAACAGGCCCCAGGTGGAATAAAAGCGCTTAAGGGGGGAGAATTGTATTTCACATCCAATTGGCACAAACATTGGATAGGGATACATGGAGCGTACTGACCTGAGAGTCAAAATCAGATCGTATTTGGATGACCTGATTTGTGAGACCGAGCTAAAATGTTTCTATGTAGACAAGTGAAAGCGAATGGCAGCGGCAATGGTCAGCAGCACTAAACTGCATGTAGTAAAATACTGTGCATGTGTAAATGAATAGTCTATATAATCTGTTAAGAACTGAATTAACAAAAATCAGCATAGTATCAACAATGTAATGGTCGCAACACATGCCGCAACATAAGCATTTGAGAATTAACCAGCCAATCCGATCCGTTGATCATCATAAGGGTCTCGGGCATGCTAGAGCTTATTTCAGCCGTCTACGGGGAGTAGGCGGGGGACACCCTGAACCGGTTGCCAGCCAATCGCAGGGCACACAGGGACGAACAACCATCCGCGCTCCACCTCACACAGAGGCACAATTTAGAGTGTTCCATTAACCTGCCATGCATGTTTTTGGAATGTCGGAGGAAACCGGACTACCCGGAGAAAACCCGTGCAAGCACGGGGAGAACCTGCAAACTCCACACAGGAAGGCTGGAACCAGAATCAAACCCCGCACCTCTGCACTATGAGGCTGATATGCTAACCACCCGACCACCAACTGGGCCGCCATTTGAGAATTAAATGAACAGAAGTGCAATGACCAGTGCCAAATAGATACTTTATGTATACGGAGGTGAATGTGAACAGCCGCAAGAATATGGTTCACTAACGAACTGTGCATGTATCATTAACTGAACTATATCAGGGGTCGGCAACCCGCAGCTCCAAAGCCGTATGCGGCTCTTTGATCCTTCTGCTGTAGCTCCCAGTGACTGGGAAATAAGTAATTAGTGTTTAATTGTTTTTATTTTAGTTCATTCATTTTTCAATGTAAGTCTTATTTTGACAACAACAGTGCGCTTGGAACATAAAGCCAAAAGGATTTTATTTACTTGTTAATTATTTTGTTGCTCAAAATATGCATCACAGGACACTGGCAATAGGTTAAACCATGAAAAGGAGGGGAAAAAAGTTTCAAAAGAAAACAGAACATTTAATGCTATGCCCTATGTGAATTTTATTAAAAATAAACATCACTCGTGCAACCTCACAGATGGCAGCTTACAATCTTGTGAGTGTGAAGTTGAATCTTACATCACCAACTTGCCGTAGTGCCAACAGGAGCACAAATCACATGAACCGGATAAAACCGGATAAGTACCAAAATATACGACCAAATATTCTACCAAATATGAAAGTATACCACACATAGATCCTTCATGTGCAAAAATGAATGGGAACTGCAGCAATAGTCAGTTGCATTAGACTATTTGCACGTATTTTAAAAGTGATCCATATCCAACATTCCTTAACAAAGCATCGATTGATAGACTTTCCCGAGCCGTTTTCACTCTCTTGTCTGAGGCGCCCTACATTTGATATCCTCTGCGCCTCCCCGCACATCCCCCCCACTCCCTCCACTCTTCCACCTCTCAAGTTGTTCACTGCAAGCCGATATCCTTCTACCGAGGCATCTGGGAGAAAAAGAAAGAAAAAAAAAAAAGGAAAACTTTTCAACTTTTTTCCCCGCACATCAAATGGCCTGAGAATCAAGATGCTTCCTCAGCATTTTCTCATCGGCTAGTTTTCTTTGAAGGAGGAGACTGGTCCATCTCTTTCTCTTTTTCTCTTTGCCATGAATATACCTTGTTTTTCCTCCCACGAAATAAGAAGAAGGCTCTTCCATTGCGCGGGAACAATAACGAGCACGCCATGAAAGCTAGTCTGTGTTTTTATTATGTAACACCTACCCCCGCCACCGTCATCTTCCTCACTTTCTTTAAAAACTGCCGTCGCATTCTCAATGAGGACTAGCATCTTTGCTACACCTGCAGCCAGAGACTCAAGGAATGTTCGGGTACCTCATTCACAATCACCATCATTGGCATGCCGGGCCTGGAGCTGGTGATGCCGCACTGCTTGTCTCCCAGTACGGAAATGTTGTAGCAAACCCATGGGTAAAGGAACGACATGGCAAATCCGTAAGAGGTGACTGACGTTTATAATTAAAGAATGTGAGAGTTTTTTTTTTGTTTATTTTCATTTGCAATATTTTGTTCTAATATTACTTCTTATTCCACACAGCAAACCTTCTTCATTTGCATTGTGATCACCAACAAGAGGAGAGGGCAAGATGTTTTTTTTTTATTTGTTTTTGTGGTGCTTTACCCACTTATCGCTTATAGCAATGCTACTTCCTATTTACATTCTTTCGACCAATGGCAAAATGGAGCAACGTTGGGTTGTTGGTTGTATTTTGGCACTCTTGGAATGTGTACTGATTCAAACCGTTTGGTGTTTTTGTTTATTTGTTTGGTTGTTTTTTTTTGTTGTTGTTTTTGTAGCAACATCTTGGATAACTGTGAGCCCTACAGTGTCAATTCAGAGCAAGAAGAGAGGCATAAAAGGTCCTCTACCTGTTGGCCCTTCAATGCCATTTTAAATAAAATGTTAACACTAAGGTACTAGATTATGGTTATTATTTGGTATAATTGAGTACTTTGGCGATTAACTATGCAGTGTTAAATTTTGTTTTTTATCCGTTTTGATTTTAAATGGGAGTGGCAGAGAAACAGTCTGGGTTTTTTTTTTTTAACTGGGCGAGAGATAGAGATTCTTCTTTTCGTTTCCTCAAAGTGATGGTATCTACAGTCTCCTATTTTTCTGGACATTGAGAGATTGAGCAGAGGCACTATGGAATACTGTACAAAGTCTGTTTTTATAGGTTGAAATTAAAGCGTGTTGGAGGGGAACACTGTTTAAAAAAACAAAATCTAATGGTATCTCTGAATTGCACTTTTTCACCTAACGCTGAAGGTTCTGCAACATACAGCACTACCCACGAGAAACAGGGATCTATTTTATTTGCTGATCGCAAAACCTACCCCCTGTTTACATTCTTGTGACCATTTCGAGAAGAGGGAGACATCACGTGGCTTTGTTCCATTTTGATATGCTTAGAACACAAACCAAATTGTTTACAAAACCAACCACTCTGAATCACTGAAAGCCAACTACAGGTGTGGAAATCACCCCAAACCAAATGTTTTATTTAAAAGGAAACAGTAAAATCCTGACTGCTGGTGCCTTTGGGGCTCTGAGAAAACCATCGCTGTGTTAATGTGCCGACACCGCCATGCCAACAGCGAGGAAACGTGCTAACGCAACAGGGCTCCTGCACGCCTTGATTGAAACGACCGCTATCAGTGTCGCCTCACCGCGAATACACGATGCACAAACAATGTGAAATGAATTACCATCTTTCCAAAGAGCCGTTCTGCCTGCATCATGGTGCAAAAACTCTCATTCTCTGTATTAATATGCTATTAGGGAGATAATTATAGTAGGTACCGGTAGCAGATACTTGGGGAGTACTAAGTTGAAGTACTAATTTGACTCCTTTAAGCCAAAATAAGAAAGTTCACTTTGAAATGTACAACAGTACAAAAGTAGAAATGAATTTTTTTTCAACATTTTTTAAAAATTTTTTTTTTTATGATTATTATCTTGATAACTGGCCATGACAAAAACAAAATGAAAAAAACAAGCAGTGAGCTAAGCTAACATTGACTCAGGCTTTTATGCTACCAAAAGAAGTTCTTGCGTTTTTGATGACATTGTGAATTGACAATCAAAAAATGTAAAATTAGCACACCATAAAAAATGAAATATGATACCTTACCATTATGGGGTGTTTTTTTTTTCTTCAGAAGAGACAGATCATTTTTGAAAACCAGAAGCTTTTTTTTTTTTTTTTTTAAGCCGGGATGAGATAAAAATGTAATCACCAGGGTCGTTCATGTAGCCGAAAACATCCTGCTTCCCCGAATATGTTGCCATTGTTGTTAATGCTCTCTGGTTCAGGTCAAGTCAATTTTATATATTCACTTCACATGGCAAGCGGGTCAAGAAGACTCTTCATACATCAAAGAAAACCACCCAAAACAGTTGAGACATCGCAACCGAGGAAGGAAAAAAACTCCCTCAAAGAAAGAAAGTTCAAACAGAACCCAGCGGCTCTGGGGTGACCGACCGTCTGACTTGACAAATTGGGTTAGCATGGAGAGACGGAGTGGACAATGACAGACTGGAGAGAAAAAGAAATAGATGACAGAGAGTTGGAGCGACTGAAGGAAGGACGAGATACCGATGGATATCGAAAACCAGAAATAGTCCCATGATGACTTCAACAATTATTCTCCATGTCATCATCCGCAGAAAAAATATAACAAGCATATTTTGAAAAAGTAAGTAATCAAAAGAACAGATTTTCAAACTTACGAGGTAAAACATCTTTTGAAAAAAAAAAAGAAATCCTCAAGTTCGGAACAGATAACTGAAAATAAATGTACTCAGCGACAGAAACAGGTGCTTTATTTGTCGGATTTTTATTTTAATTTGCTTCTGCATGCCCACGTGGCTTTTCTGTATACTTCACAGCCATGCACCTTTTCGGCCTCAACTGGCAGCTGCAGGAGTTGGACAGCCAGCCAGCATTTGAAAATGGCGGAGTCGGAAAGGCTGGTCCCACGCCGTCCAGCGCCGTCACGGCGCTCGCCGCCGACGGTGAGGAAAGCTCACTGTGATTGCCTTTTCTTTTATGCATGGGTGTTAGAATGTGAGTTATCGTCCATATTATCAACATCAGGCGACAACTCCTTCATTTACCACTTTTCCCCATTGATTAATAATTAATTTCTCATTATGCTCTGTGGCATCTACATTAGGCAAGCTGTTACAATCTAATACGATCCAATACGAGAGTAACCACCGTAAACCTATTGTTAAAAAAAAAAGTGTAATTGAAGCCCTCCCAAAGTCATATTAATAGGTTAAACCATAAATATACCACAAACTACAAGGCCAAAACAGTTTGTCATTTTCAAACTCATCTTTTATGACCCTTAAAACCAAAGGGCTTACAGACTCTTCAATTTAAGAAACACACCCAAAGCGCGCATGCCCATGGGAGTATGTAGAACCAAAATTACCAAAATAAAATAAAACAAATGAATGTCATAAAATGAAAATTAAAAAAAGAATATAAAACATATTTCAAAAAGTAAATACAAAAAAATAACGTGAATGAAAATAAAAAAAAAAATCTAAGTAAATAGAAAAAGAAACGTAAATAAAATTGCATCGCAATAAAAATACAAAAAAAATGCTCTGCTCTCATATTTATTTATTTCATGCTGCAGACAATGTCAGCATGAAATGTTAAACAAATCAGGGGACCGTCCTAAGTGTTGAACTCTTGGTTAATCAACATGTGAGTGCTTGCAAGAGCAAGAACAAGAACGTGTGATGCAGAAATCAACAAGGGACGCCTACCTCCCGCCTCAGCAAGAGCAAGTATCTAAGGAGCAAGGTAGACAAATGTTTAACAGCGTAATAATTTCTGCCTTTCCCATTCGCGGGCCCGGTATTTGGGGGCCACCGCTTCTTGGAGGCATTTCAGAAAAAGCAGAAGCAATTTTTTTTTTTTTCGGCGCGAAAAAAAGTGCAAAGTCAGGATACAGTCTTCAGAATAGGACTCATCCATCCATTGATTACGTATCTGACCCGGTTACATTTTGAAATATTCTCAAGATGCTGTTCACCCTACAATTCCCTCCAGAGTGGCTGCTTCCGGCCAAAACATCAAATGTTCAATATCTGGTATGGGGCTTTGTGTGGCCTGTTGTGAAAGACACGTCTGCCCAATTTCTAGCCGATCAATTAAACTTGTTTGGGGGGATTTTGTTTTCGTTTTTTAACTTTTCACTAAGTATTGTTGGGGGGGGTCTGTTGTAGACCCTTAGTATACATTCATTTTCTTCTTTGTTTTACATGTGGCAGCATTCTTCTGAAACAGTTTGGTGTTTGGTCCTCTTTGCGTTCTGAATATTATCCCACTTTCACACCACCTGATTACGATGTGTTAACATTCTATATTCATCGTCAAGTAGGCGGCCCATTTTGCTTCACCTGTAACACTTAACGACTCCGAACAAAAAACTTTAACAGCCATGCAGCGTTGAGAACATGCAAACCAATGCGTAACACTGGCTCACTGAACCCCGGCTACTTCTATATCCTCATCAACGCTGTTAATGAATACGACGTGGGGCAGCTTGTGGGCTCTTTAAAGGCCGATCAATAGCCCGCCGTTATTCTCCCCGGAGGTTACGCTTGGCTCCCGGTCTCGCCTCTGACTGGAGTTAAAGTGACAGCCAATGGCCTCATTAAATGCAAACACTGAAGCAAGGCAAGTAGTGTCTGGGTGCAAACACACACACACACACACACACACACACACACACACACACACACACACGAACACACACACACACACCCACACACACACCCAC